GGGCTCATCCTCGCCCGTCTCCGAGTCTGGGGAGGTGGGGAGGTGGGGAAGGGGGAAGGAGAGCAAGGGGGTGAGGGGACACGGGGACAGCAGGCTGGGCTGCCCCTTGCAGACCCACCGGTTCCAGGGGCGGGAGAGCAGTGCCCGGGCAGCTCCGGGAGGAGGCAGCGCCAGGGCAGGGGGCATGACTGTGACCTGCAGGGACAAGCTGCCAGCAGGGAAAGGCAGGACCAGAGGTGGGAAAGTCCAGCCGGGCAAGGGCATGCAGGGGAGGGCAGGCAAAGCAGGCACGAGCGGTGTTAGGTGATGGGAGGAAGGAAGATGGTGGTGGGAACGCAGCTGGCGGAGGTGGCGTGAGGATGGGGATGCAGGACAGGGGGACAGCGGTGGCAATGGGGCAGGGTGGCAGGCTGGGGCACAGGGCCCGCTCTGGGGACGGGGCTGGCATCGGGCAGGGGTCTTCCTACCGTAGCTTTGTTTCCTGCAGGAGCGGAAAACTTCGCTTCCATAGGGGCAGCAAGAGAGAGAGAGACATCAACACCCGGTTATCGGCCCGGCCTGCGGAGACGCGGGGGGCAGCGGGGAGGGAACTTGTCCCCAGCGTCTCCCCGCACTGCCATGAGGCAGGGACCTGCCGGGGCCAGTGCCTGGGTGGGCCATGCCATCTCAGAGAGCCTGGCACAGGGTGCCAGGCTTCAGGTTCGGGCAGGACTGAGCATTTGCCCATCTCAGGACCCCACAAGGAGCACCTCATGCCCTACCTGGCCCCACGGCAAGGGCCATGTGCCCACAGGGCATGGGAACAGGTCTGGCTCCCCCAGACTTCCCCACCACGTCTCCACTCTGCACCCATGTTCACTGCACGCTGCGCCGGCGCTCGCTGCACGCAGACCCTCCGCGCACAAAGACCGTCCCGCCCGCGCAGTGCTCGGCACCATTCCCTCCCCATGCCACAGCCACGCGGACGGCTGCCCCCTGTCCCCAGAGCTGCCCTGCGGGGTGGCCTCGCCACTGCAGCATCTGCACATCCCTGAGCTCCACAGAGCACCGCAGCTTGGGGCTGGATACACACACCGCTTCCCCCCAGCCAGTGCGCCAGCTGGGCACTCCTGGGGGTGCTGGGACACGTGGACATGTGTGTCCATGCGCAAGCACCCTCCCTCTGTGCATCCCCTACCCCACCGGTGGCAACTGCTGCAGGATACAGCCGTGCCCCACACCACGGTCCTGGTCGATAAAGCAGTGATGCTCAAGGCAGGGCATCAGCGAGAGCCTCCCCACAGGTGGGACGAGGCCAGGCCAGATCAGCGCCATCCCTAATGTCCTGTCCCGGGAGAGCCGACCCCGTGCAGCCAGGGAGAGCCAGCCTTTCCCCCCTGCCATGGCTCCAGCCCTCACAAGCTGCCGCAACAAACCCCTGTGACAAGGGACATGTCCCCTGCCCCACCACCGCTCCCCTCCACTACGTGCCATGGCATGGCGGGGGAGGGAGGGGGGTGGGAACATGCTGCTCCCCCACAGCCCAAGTTGCCCCTCCGCAGCCTCATGCGCTGCCACCACACTGGGCTCCCTAGTCCAGCCACGACAGCGCTGGAGGAACCGGAGCTGTGGGGCCAAGAGCAGCC